ATTTTGTCTCATCATGCTTAGCAGCAGAAATGTGATTTAAATAACCCACTTATTCAATATAAATCTACAGGAGGAGCCAGACATGTGACTGCTGACAGTCCTGGGATGATTTTTCAATGGAGTGCCTACCTAAGGGGCAGTTAACTTTAAAAAAAAATAGTTTATTATTGTTATTTTCAAATAACAGTAGTTTTTAAAAACAAATCTGTCCCTCTCACTGCTACCCTGCCCTCTAATAGAGTGTTTTTTTTAAAAATGAAAACCAAACCCTTTACTATATATCTATATAGTCTGGCAAAACAAATTCCCACATTAATCATGTCTAAAAATATACATATGCATATATATGTGTATACATCTATGTGTGTGTGTGTATATATATATATATGTATGTACACACACATTTCTGCATTTTAAGTTTCTCACCTCTGGCTTGTTTCATCATTCTTTTGGACTTGTGACTTACTACCTTAATCACAATTCTAAAGTCTTTCAAAGCTATTTTTCTCTACAGTGTTATCATTTTATAAATTTTTCTAGTTTTGCTCACTTTGCTATGTATCAGTTAATAAAAGTTTTCTCAAATTTCCTCTGAAATTGTCTGTTTTGTAATTTCTTATGGCACAATGATATCCCATTATATTAATACACCACAATTTGTTTAGACATTCCCCAAAAGAAGTATACTCCCTCAGTTTGCAGTTTGGGGCTATCACAAAAGAGTTTCTGTGAATAATTTTGTACATATATATCCTTTTCCTTTTTCTTTGATTCTTAGGGATATAAGATTGCTAGATAGGGAATACCCAGTTTGCTGACTGTAGACGTAGTTCCCAATTGCATTCCAGAATGGTTGGACCAATTTACAAGCTATACTAACAGGTCATGAGGTACCCACCTTCCCACAGCCCCTCCAATATTTGTCATTTTTTTTTCTGTCACCTTTGTTATTGTGGACCTTCACAGTTGCTTTAATATTCATATATTTGTTAGTGATTTAGAGCATTTTTAATGTGATTGTTCATAGGTTGGATATCTTCCTCTGAAAGTACCTATTCATATCCTTTGATCATTTATCTGTTGGGGAATGTCTCTTAGGTTTATACATTTAAATCAATTCCTTTTATATCTTAGAAATGAGACCTTTATCAGAAAAACTTGTTACAAATATTTTTTCCCAGTTACATGTTTTACTTCTAATTTTTATTGCATTCAATTTGGAAAAAAATTTTATATAGTCAAAATTGTCTTTTTCACCTTCCATGATCGTATCACTTGTTTCTTCATGACTCTTTTCCTATTCATAGTTCTGAAAGGGAATTTCTTCCTTATTCTTCTAATTTGTCTGTAATGCTTCCTTTAAATCTAGGTCATATATCCACTTGGAGCTGATATCTTGGTGTGTAATGTGAACTGTTGATCCATCCAGTTAACTTACCATCCATGTGACTTTAGAGACAGAATAATAAAGTAGGAAGTGTTATTTGTGGAGTCAGGATCTGGGTTCAAATTCTGGTCATACCACTTACTGCTTCTGTGATCTTTGATTTGTTATTTAACATCTCTGAACCTCAGTTTCCCTGTTTGTAAGATGAAAGGGTTACACTAGATGACCTAAAGTTTCTTCCAACTCTAAATCTCCCATCTTGATTGTATAACCTTTGACATCAGTCATTTTCCCGTCCATACCCTAGTTCAGCCCTTATTACCTGAAGTCAGGACTATTAGCATAGTCTTCTAACCGGTCTTCATGTCTCAAGTCATATCTTTCTCCATTATGTTCATTAATAAAGTACTTTACAAACCTTAAACTCATGCTATATAAATGTTAACTATTATTTTTGTCTTGTATATTGCTACCAAGTTAATTTTCCCCAAACACTGATTTCATAATGTCGTTCCCCGGTTCAAAAACCTAGTTCATTTTTGTCCAGTTCAATGTGTCTCTATTGCCAGATGGTGATAAAGCTTCTTAGAATGGCATTTAAGGTGCTTCACAATATGGCCCCAACTTGTATCCCAGCTGGGGAAGGACTCAAACATATCAACGATGAAAGTGTATAGAAATCTATTTGAAGAGGTAAAAGTTCATCCCAGGAAATCATTACTAGATCAGGGGTCAAGATACAGGAAATGGCAGGGAGACACTGGTCTGATTCAATCTGTGTTCCAAGAACACCACAATTTCCTAACCCTACCTGAGCTCCTGCACTGACTTGTTGGTATAGTCAAGTTGAGGGCTACTGTGTCTCCTCCTAATTTAACCACAGTTGTAAGGCTGTGGGCTCAAAATGCAGTCTACTTTTCAACCTTATACGTAAATAAATTCTCCATGTAAGGAAGACTAGTCTGTTTATTCTAAGGCCTGCCAATATGCTTTAAACATTGATACCTCCATGCTTTTACTTACCCCTATCCACATCTCAGTCTATTACCATATATACCCTTGGAATAGCCTCCTACTTCCTTTCTGTATTTGAATTATATCAGTTTTTCAAGATCCAGCTCAAGTCTCACTTCATGAAGCTTTTCCCTAACTACTTACCCCATACTGATCTCTTCTCTAAACTGTTGGTAGCATTGTGGTATAAAGGAAAAGCCACTGACTATGGAGTCCAAGAAAATGGGTTAAAATCTCACCTCTGAGAGTACCTTTATGACCTTGGGCAAGTCACTTAAATTCACGGGGGCCTCAGTTTCCTCATCTGTAAAATGAGAGAATTTGATTAGATGGCCTCTTACGTTCTGTTCCAGATCTGCATCTGTTATTCTATAGAATTCATTATCTGTATTTCTAATTTGCTACTTTTCACATTGTATATATTTTTGATGTATTATATTAATTACATCATAAGTGCCTTTGAGAGGGGAGGGAAGAAGACCCATCTTAAACTTTTCTCACCCGTGGTGCTTAGCACTCTGTCTTCTCTATAGTAGGTGATCAGTAAACATTGCTTTGGTTAGCAGAATCCACTAAATAACTGGGAAAGTCACGTCACCTATCTGGGACTATTTCCTCATCCTCATTTGAGGGTGTTTCTAAAGTCCACTTATAACTCTAGAGCCCTATGACATAAGCTAATAAAAGAGAATCTGCTTCCTCCAAGAAAACTGCTGCCATCCTTATCACCAAATCCAGTGACTTCTTCTTGTGTCTTCATCTTCCATGATCTCTGTAGCATTTGACACTGTAGAAGATAGTCATATCTGTTTTCCGTGACATTGTACTCTTAGAATTTTTCCCAATGACTGTTCCTTCTTTATCTTTTTTTTTTTCCTAGCTCTTCATCTTTTTCCCACCCTTCAATGTAGTGGACATTCTCTAAAGGTCTCTCTTAAATCTGTTTCTCCTTTTTCTACACTTTATCCTTTGGGGATCTCATCCATTCCTGTTGTTTCAATTATCATCTATTTGCAGATGACTTCCTATCCTCAATTTCTATCAGTAGTTCTAGTGCTATATCTAAATGCCTGTTGGATAGCTTTAATACTATAGTTAATTGTCCTTTTTCTTATTAAAAGATAAGCTTATTGAGTACAGAGCATAAGTCCCATATTTTTTTAATCTCCAGTGCCATGAACTTAATAGTTGAAATGTTAATTGAATCAAATGTTCAGGAGACTATCCCTAAACTTTTGGTGTCAACATTGTCAGCAACCACCACAGCTCACCTGTGGTGCCAGTTCATGCAACAAATATTTAGCGAACATCTGCTTTCTATGTGCAAGGTGTTATGCAGGGTGCTGTGGACGCTCAGAGCCAGACCTTATGGAGCTTAAAATGTTGTAATTGAGGTAAGATATAGCTGCAGATGTAACAGGAAAATATAATTCTAGATACTGTGCTTTCTTAGTTTAGTACTTGAGGATGACAGTATGATCATTGTTCCAATGAGTGTGACACCTCTAATTTTTTTTTTTTAAGTTCGCATAAATCCCAATGAGTAGAGTTGGAGTAGGATCCAAGACTTCAGCAGTAGCTTTGACCCAAATTGTCCCAGAGACAAGCAGGGGCAGCTGCTGGATTGAATCTTCCCATACATTTCTTCTTAGAAAAGGACTTCTCCTTCCTTTTATGCAGAAATAGTGCTTATCTATCAAGAAGCAAAGCTATTTGCCTCAGTCACATAAAGCCTGTCTGGACAGATCCAAGAATAAGAGCTATAGTTTATCTTGGCCTGCTTTAAACTATGGGAATGTTGAACTATTATTGATAGAAATTTGATGAAGAATGAGACTTTCTCTATGAAGAGAGATTCACAACTATCTGTGCTGTTTCCCATTGTAAGGCCTAAGTGGGAGGAGGGAAGTGCTTAGGCTCAAGTGCATAAGCAAAATTGAAGCTCACATTAGGGAAAGTGGCAAGGCTATTCCTTTCTTCCACCTCAGTTACTAATCCATTGACTAAAGGCATGTGTGTGTGTGTGTGTGTGTGTGTGTGTCTGTGTGTCTGTGTCTGTTGCTCTGTGTAATTTTGACAACATTGTTGTCAAAGAATCCCAGCTCTCCTACTTCTCATTGCATCTCCTAGATAAGTCACTTCTCTTCTGGGGAACTCAGTATCCTCAACTGTAAAATGAAAGGATTGGGCTAGATAACCACTAAGGTTCCTTCTAGCTCTAAAAATATCAATGATTCTTCCCTACGTTTTTCATCACCTCTCTCTAGATGTTTAGTTTGATTTGAACACCATTCTCTTTTGCATTAAATTAAGGAGATAAAAAGCTTTATAAGGAGTAAGTTCTTTGAAGTGACAATTCTGCATTTGAGGGCTTATAAATTGAATTTGAAATTTTTCCTAGATCAAAAAGGGAGAATTATTCTTTAGTATAAATGTTTATGTCATGTAGTGTTAAGTTTATTCATTGGCTAATTTTTCCATGTTATCTTCATATAAATATTGAGTTGAAACCAAAAGTTGGTGTGGGAGAAACAGAATTTAAGCAGCTTTGTGTATTCAAAACAGTCTTGTTGATGCTATGTACTTGTTTTTGTTACAGCTTCTAGATCTTCAGTGGAAAATGGGTATGGCGGTGAGCTCAGACAGTTGCAGATCTCTTAAGTCTCCTTATGTTGCAGTGACATTAAAAGTGGCAGATCAGTCAGGCCAGATTACAAACAAGTCCTTTGAAATGACAATTCCACAATTTCAGGTTTGTCACTGAATTAATTTGAATTTTCTTCTAGGACATTGTCGCTTTTTAAAAACACAGGGTTTTTTTGTTTTTAAATTAAAAAAGAAGCATTGTCCTTATTTTAAAATATGTAAATGTTATTTTAAAGTATTAATTGAAATATCTTTAATTTATTAATACACAGAATCAGAAACATTTTTTATCTAGGGATTTGGCAAAATGCATTTGCTTCGATGTCCTGTATGAAAGCAGTGTTAATTGAACTTTAACATCTGGCCAGAATTTCAAAAGCTTTCATCTTTTATGGATATATTTAACCAATATTCTTTTTTTTGTACAGGGGTATAGATGTACCAAAGATTGACTTTCCTCCTAGACTTATCTGCAGGAAATCTAAGCAGAATTCAACTTAGCCTCAAATTGTACTTAACATTTTTCTGACAGAGCCCTGTGCCAATTTGAAACATCAAAATCTGAGTGGCTTTGTATCAGCCAGATACTTGTGTGAATGCTCTCTTTGTATCTGGAGACACACTTTCAAAAAGAGTTTGTAGCCAGTACCCCTCAACATTTAACTGCTTTGATGGCTTCCTTTTTTTATTTACCACTGGTCTTTAAGATTTAAATTTCTAAAAATCCATTTGGTGAATGCAAAGATCATATCCCAGCAACATTTGCTGACATTGTCTATATTTTTGTAAATATGTCAGGAATTCTAAGCAAAACAACTGTAATCACTCAAGTGGAGAATAAGTAGCTATTTTACAAACCAAATTAAGAAAAATTATTCCCAAGGTTTATTTTCAAGAACAAATTTTCACATACTCTCCAATGCCACTTTAATTACTTAGTATAAACCACATTTTTAATGGTATAGTTTTGTCTTAGAGTTCCATTTCAAAACAAAAAAATTCTAGTCAAAAATATATTATTAATACTGACCTCTTATAAAAGGACTAATCCTTGAATTGAAATAGTAAAATGCACTTTTGTATATCCTTAAATTCAAGTTTAGGTCAAATATCTTCAGAAAACATAATTTTAACATGTTCTCAAACTATCTAGGCAAGCAAAACTCCCTACCTAAATTTCAGATTTAGCCTAATGATGTATTGTTAGGTAAATTTAAATCCATATTGAAGCTCAACATTTTAACAAACTCCAGTTACATTTGACAAAACAACTTGAATATGAATATAGATTGAACATTATTTTCTTTTTTTTCTTTCCAGTATTTCTTCAAGCAGTTCAAAGAAATGGCTGCTGTTATGGAAACTGTGTAAGAACTGCCTTTGTTGCCAAGTCTATATAACGTTTGTAAGATAATGTATGTCACTTGATGTAAATACAATTGTGTAATGATTAAATGCTATTTGTTAAATGAAGATATAATTTCTTTGTCATTTTCATAGGATGAGATAGTACAGTGTTTTGGGTCTTTATTCATGTGTTACACTGCCCCAGAATCTCGTATCATCTAAATAAATGTGGTATTGACAGTTACAAATAAGCTTGATGAAACAAAAAAGCTTAAATAAGGAAGTTCAAAAGAACATGCAGTAATTTGTAGGATTAGTGAAACAGTTGATGTATAAGAGAGGATAGAAAAAAATAACTTAAGAAGTTCAGGTTCAAAAAGTAGCTTGATCAAAATATAAATCTATAAAGCTATTCACATATTAGACACTGGATAGAACTAACCTTGGGTGGTGACACAAGCAGAGAGAAGATGGACTCCTATCTCGACCAATCTGTGCAAACACATTCTGACTTCTTTGCCTTGGAGTTAGAAAAAAAATTTTAATGCGTTATCTTACTAACTAATATGATTTGAGCAAAGATACGGCATTGAGAAGTTACGCAGAAATAACTATCAGTGAATTTTATAGCAAATTTCAGGAAGTATCTGTGCAAGATTTCATGGTTAAGAAATGGTATTGTTTTGGAAGTGTTACCTAGCAAGGGTATTTGTGTTCAAAATGCTTACAAATATTTCCTTATGCCTTAATGATAGGATTATAGATTTTAGAAATAGAAGGGACTCTGTGGGTCAGCCAGTCCCCCATTTGAGGCCCAGAGAGTTTGTAATTTGCCTGGAGTCATATTGATAGGAAGTGAGAGGGCCAAATTTGAACCCAGGTCCTCTGACTCTAAATCCAGGATTCTTTGCACTGGACTACATTACTATAGTCTATATACCAGGAAGATATGTGAACCGAGAGTTAGGAGACTTGGACTTTGGTCTCCATTCTGCCACTAAGTTACTTCTTAGTTTAAGCTGTTTGATCTCTGTTATATTTCCTTACTTGTAAAATGAAAGGGTTCGACCAAATCTCTGAGTTCCCTTCTACCTCTAAAATTTTATAGTCATCGGAAAACCTGAATTACTCTTGTTATGTCAATGAACAGTTTTTCTAAACTTAAACTTTATGTGATAGAGAAAGCAAAGAACCCACATTTATTTCTATGAACCAAAACTTCAAATCTGTCAGTGTTTTCAAAAAGGAGCATGGATGGATCATTCTGTTTTCAGGTAATAGCATGGAAAACATTTTGTGCCACAGATTTGAAAACATTTGAAATTTAGAGACCTGACCAAAAAAAGCTGTGTCTTTTGATGAAACTGTCTTAATGAAATTATCTTTGCATTTAGTTGGTGGCAAAATACTTGGTCCTACCACCTGAAAAGTGACCCCTCATGGAATCCAATCAGATGCCATTTTGCCAGTTCTACCTCCACATTTGTCACATCCGTGGAATTGATGACATTTGAGTTCAGTCTTGAAGGACAACAATAATTTAAATAAATAGCAGTTTGTGGGGGGAGGAATCCATTTTGGGCACCTGAGAATGGTGTATGCAAGTATGCTGAGATAGGAGAAGCCAAGTTTGGAAATTGTAAATAATTCCAGTTTAAGTGGAACTTAGAGTATGTGTAGGCAAATAGGGCAAAATACTACTAGAAACAGATTGAATTGCAGAAGAACTTAATGCCAAGCTAAGCTGTTTGTATTTTATTTGGTAGTCAATGAGAAGCCTTTTAGATTTTTGAACAAGGGAATGATGTAATCAGACTTGTGCATTAGAATCATTTGAATCATCAGATGACTGAATCAAGAACTGTTTCTTTGGCAGAAATATAGTGGGTTGAATATGGAAGAGACTAGAGACAGGGAGAGCATTTAGGAGACTGTTACATCAGTCCAAGCAAAGGATAACGAGGGCCTGGCCTAGAGTGTTTCAGTAGGAGTAGCAGGGAGTAACTTGATGCAAGAATGAATTGTAATAACTACCAGAATGCAGTTTCAAAACCAACTTTGAACATTAGTCTCCATGCTGCTACACTACCAAAATTTACCAACTGGTATTAATTAAGAAATTTGGAAATTAAAAGATTTGACCAAGAAAACTATGGCCAAAAATTATATCTCATCTAAGACAAATGCCATCATTGAGTAAGTTTTTTGTGTGTTTTATCTGTCACTCTTAAAAACTTACATAGTCATAATTCACTTAATGACTTTAGGCAAGATTATAGAGGCAGTTAATTCTGTAAGACCAATATTTTTTAAATAATTTTTAATTTTCCAAACTCTGTAAACACCAAAAAAATGAACATTGTCATATACAAAGAAGAACAAAAAAAGACTGTATACAAAACCAAGAATTTCCATTATGTACAGCTTTTTCTTTAAGTTTATAGTGAATTCAACATGCCAGTTGCAAAGCTGTCCTGCTTATTTGTGTCTCCCTCAGAACTTCCTTCTCTTGCCTTATTGTTACTATATAAATTGTTCTCCTGGTTCTATTCACTTCTTTCAGGATCAGTTCATCTAAATCTTCCCAGGTTTCATTGAATCTGTCACTTTCATCACTTCTTATGGCACAATAATATCATATTCATGTAACATGATTAGTTCAGCCATTCCTCAACCAATAGGCACCTTCTTAGTTTCTAGTTCATGCAAACAATATTTATGTCAATGCATATCAAAAGAGATAATATTTGTAAAGCACTTACTTAGTACACTACTTGGCGCATGATAGGCCCTTAATAAATATTTGTCATTCCTCAGTCCCCTAATATGGAGGTTGATGCTCAGGAGAGTGGACCCTATACTGAGTCTTCAGTATTAGCTTGGATCATTTCTGGGTATCCAATTTGTAGGCTGGGTGATTAGTTGAATGATGGTTACATTGGGATTTATGTTAATGTACATCTGAATGATGATGATTAGAGCAACTTGTATAGCATATGACCATACTTCAAAGATACTACTGCCTGTAGAGAAATTATTGAAAGGTAATGAATTATACATCTTGGTCAAATTGAATTTGGTTTGCATTATTTTGGATTACAAATACATTAGCAGAACATCATTTTTCAGTCATTAAGGTGTTATGTTTATATATATTATACATTTATATTACAATACTGTCACATAAGTTATTGTCTATAAAGCTCTTTGCAAGGTTTGAGATGCTATTTAAATGTTAGCTATTATTAAAAACTTTAATGATTTCTATATTCTGAAATTCATGAGGGAAAGGTATTTAAATTCTCTATTAAACTTATGGTAGCCTCCTAAAGTATAAAAAGACAAAGAACATATGGGCAAAATTCATCCAAATTTGGGGAATCTTAAAGGAAAAAAGTTTAATATGTATAATGAAAGAAACATTTGATGTAAATTTGGAGGGAAGGGGATGCAGCCATGTAGAAAGATTTTCAGTTTCATATCTGTGATGATCTAGGGAGTGTATCTAAGAAATTGAAAAAAAAATCAGTGCTATTATTTAGTCCCATTTCCATCAACTGTGGATTTCAAGGGGGAGAAAAGAGATGACTGAATATAATTTAATGGGGAGAATTAAAAGCAAGATTTTCCCCTCCTCCTGATACATAATAATAAGTAATATTTATATGACACTTAATAGCACCAAAAAAAAAAAGGCCTAAATTTCTTTGGCTTTTTGGAGGAGTTGGGGAGATGGTGCAAGGTAGGGAAGAGTGACCTAGTATATCTTATGCCATAGTTGTCCTTTACCTACCTCTTCCCATAAGGCCAAGAATACTACTCAGAGGAAGAAACCAATTTTTTTTAGCACAGCCATCATCCTGCTATATTGCAGGCAACAGGGATCATCCATAGGCAGTTGGATTTAATAATATCCATGTGGAGAGTACACGAGCAGTGTCTCGGACCTGGAACCAAGAATGGCACACGAAGCAAGAGAGATCTCAGTCAGAAAAAGTCCCAGCCATGAAGCATGGAGAGCAATGATACATAGAAAGGACTATACTTTTTCACTTAATTGTTGGGAATAATTTGGACTGTGACTCAGGTGATTGAATAAATATGTGCATTATAGAATTTATTTATTCATGAAGTAACAGGAAAATGATAAGCACGGTCTCATTAAAAAATATAATTAGCTGGCCATGATAGAAGATAAAAACAACAGATTAATTGGATCAGGACAATCTGTTGTAGAATTATTAATCAGCCTGTTTAACACTTTAAATATTTGTGGTTTCGCCCATATGGACCCTTCTTCAGCAGGTGGTTTATGAGTTGTGATGGCCTATGCTGGTCTTTAAATGTCAGAAGGCAGTAGTGTAAACCTTACCAGCTTAGTACTTACTGGGCTTCCTAAATAGATATTAAAGAACCCAGAGTAACCTCACTGCAAAACATGGCATAAAGTAGTACTTGAGTGGAGAAGTTAGTGTATCAGTTATTTGTAAATGGTTGTTTTAAAAGTGCTTGAAGAGTTTATTCTCATTAAAGTCATAAATGTTCAACTGACCTTTCCAGCCACATGAGGCCTTTTCTGATACTCGCCTCTCACTAGCTGCTAGTACCTCCCCCTCCATATTACCTTGTATTTATTTTTCAATTGTACATGTTATTTCCCCTGATGAAATGTAAGTTCCTCGAGGGTAGAGCCTTCTTCTTTTTTATTCCCAGAACCTAGAACAGTGTGTGCATATGGTAAGCGTCCAATAAATGCTTGTTCAATAGAATTGAATGTCTTACAAATGGTGATCCAAACTTTGCTTATAACAGCCATTCAAGTAGTTGAAAACCGTTACCATGTTTCCTGTAAGTCTTCTCTTCTTCAGGTTAAACATCCCAGTTCTTTCAGATGGCGTGAACTGGATTGAGACCCTTTACCATTCTGGTTGCCCTCCCCCGGATACTGTTCAGCTTCTCGTTGTTCCTTCTAAAATGTGGAGTCCAGAACCGAACAGGTGACTCTAGGTGTCATCAACCAAGGACAGTCATACAGCAGGACAATAATTTTGCTAGTCTTGAATGCTGTTTTACAAAGTTAATGTTTACATTAACTTTCCTGGCTATCGTATTTACACTTAGTTCAC